TAATGCTTTCCGATGATCTTCTGACATGACACCCGTCAGTCCCGGATCAGCAACACACACTTGGTTGGCTAGATCCACGGTTTTTGCTTTAAACCAACTGAGTGCATCACAAGAACTTGGTACTAGGTCTGAGAGTTGGTCGAACATGTATTCAAACTTTGCTTCGATGTTTATGCGATTGATCTTAGTGTGAGGCACAGAAAACTTAAAACCAAGTGAAAGAGCCTCAAGTTGTAAGTGACTGAGCGTTATATTGGAGAGATTCATCACATACCTTTCTGATGAGATTACCACGAAATAGTTGAATTCAACAGATCCTGTGATCATGATGCTTCTTCTTACTCTCATGAGACATAAAATCATTCTCCGACAGTTTACTACAAGTACAATCATTCTCGAATCAATCAATCCAGTCTCCGGTTGAATACTTCTAAATCCTTTGAATGCATTTTTAGTCTTTCCCGATCCGATTATCCCTCGGAACCCTCAGTCATCAACTCCATACCGGTCACCAGAACACATACCATCAAATACCAAGGAGTCACAATAGACAGTAATCCACGGTGTTCCTCTCATGTGCTTGCTTGTGTTGGTAGACTGCGTCGCTTATCTGTTCAAGTACACAAGCTTCGTCAATTTCGCGTCAGACATGAAACTGTATGTTCCTTTGTTTATCAATGCATTTTTCCAATCTTACTCTGTTGTTCGTCCGTTATTTTCCCTGGTCTACTTAGAAAGGATTTCATTATTCTACGTCGAGGTCTGGTAATCATCAGCCGTGTTTCTCTCATTGTGTAATTTGCATATCAATTCGTGTGTGAGAATTTCGCTCATAGGATACTCAATGACCCCAGTCATCCGCTCAATCCCGATTTATCTGCTTGTCGTTCCCACGCTACAACCCGGTCCAATTTTCGCTGCTTACCCTCACGCATAAAGATTTATCGCAACTCAACGGTTCCCTATTTGGCTCGTATTTTCACTGACAGGGCAAGGATCAATAAAGAATTATTCTTGAATCTACAAAGATAAACACCATTTAGTTTTATCAATGTTGTCTACGAATTTTGAATCCATTATTTTTATCCCATTGTAACGGTGAACCTATTTTTTGAGTGAAATGTAGGCCTAGTTGCCTACACAAGTCATCCATAATACAATAAAACAATAATGCGATTATACACTTTTGTATCTTTTAAGAAGAGATTTTTCATGTTAAACGTCACGGTGTTTTCTAATCACAAAGTTTGATTCCTGAAAACTCGTTAGAGCGTACATTTGTTAGTCAAAATGTTAGTACTTTTGTAAAATCGACCAAATGATTTCTCCGGCAAATCGCGATGTGTTGAATAATCTCCACAAAGTGATTTTTCTATGCAAACGCTGACTGAGATGAACGTAACTTAATGATAGGAAACAATGGAAAAAGAACTATTGATGAGTTCAAGAAACATTTTAATTTTCAAAAAATATTTCACTGATTGCAGAGAACAGAAAAAAAATCTTGTTGACCAAATCGGTGTTGGAACAGATCAATGAATATTATTATAGACAAGATATAAGTTTGAGTGAAGCACGAGGATTCATAGAACGAAAACGTTTGATCCACATCATATTCGGATAATCAATCCCAACAATTTATATCCGGCATAAACCATGAGCTGCATCGATCTACATGTAGGTCGGTGCAGTTCGCAGCACTGTTCTTACTTCCGGTTCCCATTCGGTGGTTTGCAGTTTGAGTGGTTTCTCGGTCTGTGCATTTGTTTGCAGCACTGTTCTTACTTCCGGTTCCCATTCGGTGGTTTGCAGTTTGAGTGGTTTCTCGGTCTGTGCATTTGTTTGCAGCACTGTTCTTACTTCCGGTTCCCATTCGGTGGTTTGCAGTTTGAGTGGTTTCTCGGTCTGTGCATTTGTTTGCAGCACTGTTCTTACTTCCGGTTCCCATTCGGTGGTTTGCAGTTTGAGTGGTTTCTCGGTCTGTGCATTTGTTTGCAGCACTGTTCTTACTTCCGGTTCCCATTCGGTGGTTTGCAGTTTGAGTGGTTTCTCGGTCTGTGCATTTGTTTGCAGCACTGTTCTTACTTCCGGTTCCC